TTTTTGTTAAATGTGAGCCAAAATCATCACAATTAAAAGAACCAAAGACTTAAACTACTTCAGTCTGTGTGCATTGAATTTATTTCATACACGAGTTTCACAATTTGAGTTGAATTACTGAAATAAATGAACTTTTCCACGACATTCTAATTTATTGAGATGCATCTTTATGTTGTCTACTTCATCAGCCAAAATTGTAGGCTACACTCTAAAAAATGCTGGGTTAAATATAACCCAGCGCTGGGTTAAAAAGGGACAACCCATGCTATTGGGTTGTTTTGACCCAGCGGTTGGGTTGTTTTGACCCAGAGGTTGGGTTGCTTTGACCCAGCGGTTGGGTTCAAAACAACCCAACCGCTGGGTTTGTCCCTTTTTAACCCACACTGTAAAAAAAAATCGGTGATCCAACTTTCTTGGTAGTAACCCAACCACTGGGTCAAAACAACCCAATTGCTGGGTTTGTCCCTATTTTACCCAGCACTGGGTTGTATTTAACCCAGCATTTTTTAGAGTGTACAGAGTTAACCTCTCATTGATTCATTCAAACGTTTCCACAAACATAGGCTATGCTAGATATACAGAGAAACGACTGTTTAATAAGTATCATACTGAAAACCACTTCATCTTCTGAATAATTATGTGATTCTCCTGTTGCAAAATTGCATGGCTGAAAAAAACCCCCCACTGCTAAAGCTCATCACAAACAGCTTGTCTGCGAGCTGAGGAGGGCAATTCTTATATAAAGAAGTTGCAGTGTCATTCACACAAACACTAAACCCCATCATGGTGATCCAACTTTCTTGGTAGTAACCCAACCACTGGGTCAAAATAACCCAATTGCTGGGTTTGTCCCTATTTTACCCAGCACTGGGTTGTATTTAACCAGCATGTTTTAGAGTGTACAGAGTTATCCTCTCATTGATTCATTCAAACGTTTCCACAAACATAGGCTATGCTAGATATACAGAGAAAAGACTGTTTAATAAGTATCATACTGAAAACCACTTCATCTTCTGAATAAGTATGTGATTCTCCTGTTGCAAAATTGCATGGCTGAAAAAACCCCCCCACTGATTTCAGGAGGTCATTGCAATTACATAAAACAAAGACAAAAATGTTTGGGGAAAACTTAAAGCAGCCAATATAAAAGAATAAAACATTGCCTGGCAAAAAAAACAAAAAAACAAGACCATTAATTACCATCAGTTAACCCTGATAGCACACGTACATCGCGGAGACGTCTATTTGACGTCTGCATTTACATCTGGAAGACATTTTTTAGAGTGTTTGCTCATCTGCAATACGTCTATAGGACGTTTCATTTTAGATGTCAAATAGACATCTATTGGATGTATTGAAGATGTTTATGATTTAGAATGTATGTAAAACTGACATCTTATAGACGTCTGGCAGATGTTTGTACACAGCAGATGCTTTCCAGATCAAAAGATCTTTAACAGACATCTTGCAGACGTACGTGTGCTATCTGGGAAGACTACAGAAAATTGGATCGTGCGTTTCTCACGAGTCTCTTTCTGCCGTTTTGGTTTTACTTGGTCCCAGCACTGGCCGGGATTCACTTGTGTTTTCTATTTCTGGCTCTGGTCCGTGACAGAAGCTTGGTAACCGGAGATCATAGCGGAACCCGCGGATGTCGAAAGCCTTGTCGTTGAGAGAGAAGAGTTTCTCCGCGATGTCATTGCGCACCAGCAGCGCGAAGATCTTTGCGATGTAGCGGTGCTGCGCGAACAGCAGATAGAGTTTCTTACGTCTCCACGCCACGTACCTGCACCGGTTATCTGCGCGTAACGTAACCTGGGGAAAATACCAGAATTTGTTCCATTATAAAGTTTACAGTACGAACACAAAAACACTATTTATTCACCTGAAAAAACCCTTCTTCTGAAGGTCTGAGGGAATCCCACTCTGGAGAGTCCAGGAACTGAAATGGATAGATGCAGTGCAAAAACTCCCCGTTCACCGTCACTCGTATCCTATTTTAGACAAAGCGAGTGTCTTGTTTGCCTTTAAGCACGCATAGTAAGACATATTACGCGGGTTATTTCTAGTAATGAAAGTCTAGCTACTCACCTGCCTGAGATAAGAACGGACAGTTTGTCGATGGAGGTTTTACCCTCCACGGCGAAGCAGTGGTCTTTATCTATAGTATAGACATCGCCCTCACAACACTCCACGATTTTTCCAAAATGTGTTAAGGATACTCCAAGCTTTTTGAACATATAATCGTAAAGATCCTGGAACTCCTTATCAAAAGTGACGCGGCGCAATCGGTACGACACATGCACAACTTGTGCCAGACAGAAGGCGAAAAGCGCAAAAGTCCATGAAAACGAGTCCGTCGTGCACGGATCGGACCATGCCCACATCGAATAGCAGAAAAACCCGAGCGTTAAAAAGCTGAACATGTAGAGTAATCCATAAAAGCCGCTGCCTCCCATACATCCCAAAACCAGCAGTATATGTGCCAGATGAAACATTGATCCTTCAGGATTTTCCTTCCATTCTGAGCACACTGGGTATTCCAGAGTCTCTGCTGTCAAGTTAGTCTCTGTCAAATGATCCATAATGGAAAAGGAATAATTGCCCAGACGAGAATCGTGTATATCAGCTGTAGGCTACACTCCTCTGAAGAGATATGATCTGTAGCAGTCTTCAAGCTCCTGTGAACCGACAGCTCTTTATTGCGCACAGAAACATAATCCTTCAGCCTCCCCAAAGGAAACTATTACTTCAAGTTTGCTGCTTTGGAGACGTAATGGAGTGATTTATGTCTCCGAGGTTTCTCCTAAAATCTTTCTTGAGATTTCACTTTACAGAGGACTAATGTTGATATGATGCCATGAATTAAAGAGGCTGAAATATTACCACCTCCACACTTTTTGCCGAAGAGGTTCTTCTTATAGAAAAAGAGTTGTAATTCTTTTTGCACTGATATTTGACTGCAGCATTAGTACTTCTACAATTAGAGTTTGATAGTACATCGTAAAAAATGTGACCAAAATGCACTTACCAGACTGTTGTACCCAAAAAGGATTGCTTGATTAATTTTTGAAAGATTAAGTTGTCAAGCCCCATTAGTGCAAAGAGTGTCAATATGGATGTGACTGAGAACATGGCGATTTTTTTATTTCCTGTTCAACAGAATGCATTCAAAAGCCATCACCTAGTTTCTTATATTGTGTACTATTTAGTAAGCATATATTTTTTTCTATTTCTATTTTTCCATTGCAACACAGTTCTTCTATAGCACCCCTCACCACACCAACTGCACTTTTATTTTTAATCTCAGCTATAAATGAACTTGGAATGGACTTTAAGTAGTCCAGGGGACGTTCTAGTTTAGGTATGTCCCGTGCTTGAGCCCTTCCTTTACAGACAGCAAGTCAAATGTTTTTACCTTATCTCATTATTGCTTTCAAGGAATAGATGGACATGTGAACTTGGGAAATTATCGGTTTTGAACAGTATTAATCATTCGTCTAGTTAATGTTCTAATTTATGGTTAATATTCAAATTATGAATGATTTAAAATTTCATATACTTAACTCTTAATAAACTATTATAAACTACTCATATAAACTATTAATTAATTTGATTTAAACAATAGTCTATTACTACTAATCACTCTTTTAACTTAATATTAATATCATGGCTTCATTACTTATTCACACTATTGTGCCGTTATTGTTTATGCAGACTATTAATACAGTTTTTTATTAAAAATATGTGAATATGTCATGCCTATGGTTATTTCAATTTCTTTCACAGTCTGTACACTGTAAAATAAAATCAAACCCGTAGATTTTACAAAATAATTTTAGCAGCTGTTGTTACCAGAATATATATATATATATACACTCTAGCCCTCCGGCCGTTCCACACGCTAGCCCCCGGCCTCTGCTCACTTTAGGCCGCTGTGTGTGACGCTGTGTTTTGTTGTGAAAGTGAAACTGCTTTGTTTGGCCTTCCAAAAATGGACACGACTAGAAATTATATTTAAAGCAAGTTTTTTGGCCAGTGTAGAGTAGGGCTTGTTGTTTGTCATTTCTCCGATCACAAATGCAGACATGGTTTTATGTTTGCACACTATCGCGGCGCGATGCAATGCAACGTGTAAACAGACAGTATAAGTCATTATAATCCATAATTATATCCCCACTGGATGCAACGAATGCCTCGTTTATAATGGGTTTTCATGTTTTTGAATCATCGCTCCGGCCTAACATGGCATTATCACAATATGGTAAGGAGCATAACGTTTCTGTCACACGCTTGAGGTATTCTGCCAATCACAACGCACTGGATAGCTGGCCAATCAGAGCACACCTCGCTTTTCAGACCGATGAGCTTTGTAAAAATCGACGCGTTTCAGAAAGGCGGGGCATAGAGGAGAAACAATAATGTACAGTATGTGGAAAATAATGTGTTTTTTGAACCTTAAACCGCATAAACATATTTCATTACACCAAATACACAAAATAATGTTCTTTTTAGCAGCATCATATGACCCCTTTAAGAGTTTTGTTTTCTGTAGCATATTTACAATATTTTTTTACAGTGTATAAGTATCTATATGAAGTCTATGCTGCGTTAATGCACTGAATATTCCTCTGATATGTGAATCTATATTTACATATCCATGACATATTATGTACGCACTGCAGCTAAATGCAGTTGTTACTCCTGAAACTTTACAGTGTGTACATGGCTATTCTGACAATACACCCAGTTAACAAAAACATGTTATCAGAATATTTCTCATTAGGTTATGAAAATATTATTTCTGAATGTTCACTGAATGTCCTAAAACAAGTTTTTGCACTGGTTTGAGAACTTTATTAAAGATCAGTTAACTTTGAATGAATATTCTATTAACATTACTAGAAGAACGATCGTTCATAACTTCGAGAGAACCTTGCCAGAACATCAAAGGTCTGAGAATATTTCCTGTTGTCTGGGACAACAAAATCTGTTATGATCCTCTGTTCGGAACCTGAAAAATGTTATCTATGTTGAGCCTTTTCTCCCATGGCTAAAAATAACTCTTCTTGTAATTGAGTAGAAGTATTGGAATGGAATGGAATTTACATCACAAAATAGGCTACTTATTCTCAAAATAGGTCACTTGAGTTATTCAAGTACCTTATACATGCAAAATGAACAATGGAATTTATTTCACAACATAATTGTTATGTTAATAAAGGTTGCGTGTACAATACAATTTCCAAGACTTTGCATCAAGTAAAGGACAGACAGTCTTTATGTGTGAAAACATCACACTATAATGAGGCATGAGATACTGTGTATGACACTGGGACAGTACTTTTCTCCTTGAGACACAAATCAGGGTGTTTCAGCAGCGGCAGTTTTGTTCTGGTTGGAAATAACTCATCATTAACACCCCAACCCCACCCCCAGCCTACAGCCTGCCAGCTGAAGGTGCCTTTCATACACACTCTGGGGTATGAAAACAAACTTCACCCGAGAAAGAAATTGAGGACAAACCTTCTCTACAGACTCAGGGGTTATAAAACCGCAAGTGTTGAAGTCCTAATAAACATCATATCTTCTGTATATCCATATAATATCTGTGATTTCCCTTTGTGTAAACATGGAGAACATAGTAGAGCATGTTGTTAAGGGAGCTGACATGTGTTGTCTAAACTAGACACCCAGCATGTCTATATATAGATCCCAGACCCCAGTATATCTGTCAGTGGATGTGTGTGTGTCTACAAAAGAGAGAGACAGAGAAACAGGGAATTAGAGCAAAGCAGTTGGGGTGTGAGATCTGTGAAATGTATGCATAACTTCCATGATAATGAAAGAACTAACAGCATAATTGTATTAGACTGTGTGTCAGGTGTGCGCATGTTCACTGACAGATGAAGTACCTGCTCGGTCATTAATCTAAAAGAACAGCACTGAGTTTTGGGACCAAGGACACCTTTAGCGGAGAGGTTTTACGGAAAAATAGAACACCACCATTAAAGGTGTGCAATCCTCAATGCTGGTGTCAGGTTTCTTAAATTGCATCTTATTATGTCTTAAAACATCTCTGACAGTGCAGGTGGGGAGTCTTTTGGCATGTATATCATGTTTAGTATGTATATCATGATGATGATCAGCCAGTGTCTTATTAAGGGAAATAAATAGAAACATTTGCTAGCTGCCATAGCACAAAATGTTTGTATTTCAAGTGTCATTAATGCAAAATTCTAAATGGACTTTTCTATTTAAAATTGTGTTTTGATCATTTAGATTAATTCATTCAGATTAATTAAATAGCGAATGACAGACAAAGCAGAATCGCTGTGTGTGTGTGTATATACTTAATTGCTCATATTTGATATATTAAAGATATGTCATAATAGCAACACTATGCATTCAAATTGAATGATTTAATGTTTGCTGAGATGCGTCTTTTCAGCCATTCCTTTAAGTTATACACTTCACCCTCCTTTTACTTTTATCAGACCCAACTAATGTATAGCTTGTATTTATTGTGCGGACTGTTGAGTGCCGGTTTAGAACCTAATTACTGAAGTGAGGAACTGAGTGACAATACTTGAGTCTGTATTAAGACTCAATCACTTAACTAACAAAAAATAAGGTTTTGTGCTTTCCCTGTATTATTTCAATTGTGACCATAGGCTACCTGTTTACATGACTGTAATCAGGATCTTTATTAATCAACTAGATTAGTCTTAAATGGGTTTATAATATAAAAAAAAGCTCAGATAACATATTATTATGATGCCATTTGTCATTGTATGCACGTGTTGTTTTGTCCGTATTGATATTAAAGGAATAGCTCAATAACAAATTATTAATTGCCTTAAAATGTACTCACCTTCAGGCCATCTATGAGCTTGCTTCTTCATCTGAAAGGAATTTGAAGAAATATAGCATTACATTATCCTCTGCAGTGAATGGGTGCCGTCAATATGAGAGTCCAAACAGTGGATAAAAGCACAATAATCCACAAGTAATCCACATGACTGCAGTCCATCAATTAAAGGGATAGTTCACCCAAAACTACAAATTCTGTCATTAATTACTCACCCTCATGTCGTTCTAAACCCGCAAGACCTTCATTCATCTTTGGAACACAAATTAAGATATTTTTGATGAATTCTGAGAGCTCTCTGACCCTCCCATAGACAGCAATGTAATTATCACGATCAAGGTCCAGAGACGTAGCAAGGAGATCTGTAAAATAATCCATGTGACATCAGGGGTTCAACCATAATTTCATGAAGCTACGAGAATGCTTTTTGTATGCAAAGAAAACAGAAATAACGACTTTTCTTCAACAATTCGTCTCCTCCGCGTCACCCTATCACCATTTTGGAGAATATCCACTGAACACAAACAGCGTATGCTGTTCTGTGTCAGCTGCGCCATATCCATATATCTTAATTTGTGTTCCAAAGATGAAAGGAGTTTATGTACATCACTGAGTTTTGGGACCAAGGACACTTATGGGTTTAGAACGACATGAGGGTGAGTAATTAATGACATAATTTTCATTTTTGGGTGAACTAACCCTTTAACATTTTGTAATGCGAAAAGCTACATGTTTGTAAGAAACAAATCCATCATTAAACTGTTGCTTCTGGTCAAAATACAAGTTCATGATTCATAGTAACACTTTCTCTAAATGTCCATCTCCTGCTATCCTCTTGAATTTTGTTTAGAACTGTTTTAGACTGTTTTTGTTCATAAACGGTGCTTAAATCTGTGCATAGCTGTCTAATAAATATGTGTGTTACATCAAGTGTTGGCTCTTAAGTGATTCATTGATTTGGTCCTCTTTTGTAAAATGCATAAATGTAAATGTAAATATTTTTTTCTCTCGATTCAGATGAGACTTTTTCACCGGAGAAAAATAGTCTCATATTCAATTTCCCAAATATTCAGATATTCTCAATACTCATATTTTAGCCGGAATTTGTTTGTATTTGTTTCCTACAAACGCGCAGCTTTTCATTTCACAAGATACTAATAGATTACTGTGTTTTTATCAGCTGTTTGGACTCTAATTCTGACGGCACCCATTCACTGCAGAGGATCCATTAGTGAGCAGGTGAGTTAATTCTAAAATTCTACAAATCTGTTTCAATAAAGAAACAAACTCATCTACATCATGCATGACCTGAGCTGAATAAATCTTCAGCAAATTTTCGTTTTTGTGCGAACTATTCCTTTAATAAACAATTAATAGTATAGTATAGCATAAAGAATCTGTTGATATGACCAACAGATGCCTCTACCACACCATCTGGATTTGCAAAATAAGAGAATGGACACACACACACATTACAAGACCACCATCTCCCATTTCCTTTGTTCTCATATTTCTACAAAGAATCAGCTCTGGAGCAGGAAATGAAAAAGATTGAAGGGAAAAAGTAGCCTCAGATGAAAAGGAACATGACAAACAACATCCCTCCTTTCACACCACAATCAAAATAGCAGCCAAGGGGGAGAGCTCATTTGACCTTTTCTCTTAGGATTCTCTTTGTTCTCCTAAAGAAGACACAGATGCTATTTTGTTAATTGCGCAAAATAAAACAGAAACGAAAGAGACAACTGAACGGTGCCAGACACCTATATTATTTATATTCCACCTCACAAACACATTCAAATGCACACTAGTAGTAATGCATAACTGGATTGCTCTGTGTGCGATGAGTTATGTTAAAGATTAATATTTATGGGTACGTTCAGATTCCCGACTGTAAACCAACGGTGTTGTTTAAGCTCTGTTTAAGCCAAACCTAAACCCTTTTCCTAAAATCCGATGGCTGATACAGTGTAAATGTTGTTCCAGGACCATCATTTCTTGGAAAAAAATTTGATGGTCAATATCTTGGTACACTTGAGTGCAGCCGATGTTGCCCCAATTGAAAATAGCTTTACATTAAATTAAGGAAATATTTGCAATTCTGATATGGTTTGCGCACTAAGAAACAATGCAAAACCTCTACCTCCTACACAGTCCCTCTCAGCTCTAAACACTTCTCCATGTATTGAACGCTTCAGCCACTGCAATCATAATCAAGACTTTCCCAAAATGTGGGGTAGAATATAAGATGTGCATGTTGAACTGTTAGTCATGCTAATCAGTGGAGGACAGTGGGGGTGTTCTGCCTGCTGATTATGGCAATAAGTGACGCACAAGAACGACGAAGCGCCACTCGAAAATGACTTCAAAGAGCACTTCAAACTCATGACGAAGTTATAATTTGTGATGCTGACCCTTGATGAGAGTCTGTCCTGAGCAACAGGACACAACATTGAATATTCTGTCATTACAATGACAAGCATCAACTCCATATCATAGTGACCTTTGGTGACAAAGGCAGGCTGCCGATCAGTGATGTTTACTGTGTGCCACCTTGTGGGTAAAACAGAAACTGAACATTAACATGGTACTTTGCAGTCCTGTTTAAGTCGGCATATTCATAGGTCCAATACACTTGGCAATTTTTGGCACACAAAATTATACACTTAAATATACCCCATAGACTTAAGTCGCTGGGGTATATTTATAGCAATAGCCAAAAATACATTGTATGGGTCAAAATTATTGATTTTTATTTTATGCCAAAAATCATTAGGATATTAAGTAAAGATCATGTTCCATAAAGATATTTTGTAAATTTACGAAACTTAATTTTTGATTAGTAATATGCATTGCTAAGAACTTCATTTGGACAACTTTAAAGGCGATTTTCTCAATTTATTTATTTTTTATTTTTTTTGCACCCTCAGATTCCAGATATTCGAATAGTTGTATCTCGGGCCAAATATTGTCATATCCTAACAATCCATACATCAATAGAAAGCTTATTCATTCAGCTTTGAGATGGTGTATACATCTCAATTTCATAAAATTGACCCTTATGACTGGTTTTGTGGTCCAGGGTCACATTTGTTTGTTTTTATGCAAATGATAATGATTTCTGTGATTTGTAAAGAAGACGGCCTTAGAACTGCAAAATGCCAAGAACTTCTTCAGCACTGTCAAGCGAAATAAACTGACAATATTCCCAATAATAAACCAATATTCCCTATATTGAGTATATAACCTACATACTGTTCAAAAGTTCTTGAGTTCTGTAAGTGTCTTGCGCTCACCAAGACTGCATTTATTTCATCTAAAATATAATAAAAATGGTAACATTGTGAAATATTATTTCAATTTTAAACAACAGTGTTTTTATTAGAATATATTTTCAAATGTAATTTATTCCTGTGATGCAAGTTTTCAGCATCATTACTCCAGTCTCCAGTGTCACATGATCCTTCAGAAATCATTCTAATATGCTGATTTGCATACACGATTAAATTTATTCATGATTCATTTGATTTTTTTTCTCAGGATTCTCTGATGTATTAGAAAGTTCAAAAGAACAAAAGAATTAGTTTGAAACAGAAATATTTTGTGACTTTATGTCTTTACTTTTGATCAGTTTAACACATCCAGCTAAATAAAATTATCATTTCTTAATGGTAGTTTGAATGGTAGTGTATAATAAAGAGTATATGCATATTGTTTCTATTTTTAATGATAATTTTAGAGCATACAAAAAGAAACACTAACAACAAATTATCTTAAATAAATAGTGATTATCTTAAAAAAACTGATAGATAGAGATAGATAGAAGATAAGCATTGAAGAACAATTTATTAAAACATATTTCATATGTATGTACTACTAAGAAATGCATGTACTTGTGAGAATCAAAGCACTGGGCATAAAAACATACACAACATTAAAATCTTTGAGAAATAAATATTTTTTAAGAATAAACTATTATTTTGCATAATTTCAGCTGAAAAATAAAAATAATAATCAAGACCTGAAGCGACAAAACACAACTTTTAAAAGGAATTACATTCATGCAAGTGCTTGCAAACGTAAACCTTATCATAATTAATGCTGTACTGTATATGCTCCAGATATTTTTAAAGAGGAAACTATTCTCTTATACTAGCATTGTTTATTTAACACATATGTGCAGATTTAGTGAGAACACTGATCTGTATTTCTGCATGAATGGCTCTTAATATTGGGATCTGATCCATAATATATTTAAAAAGCATACTAAGTATAGTTCCAATCTATTAATATATTATTTACTGACATATCGCTCAAGACTTACTGACATACAAATCATAATGAAACTTTATGTGGAGCACTACTTGTGCACAATGTGCATTTCTTAATATTAAGCTTAAAATGTTTTTTAATGACACTATTGATGAGGATTGAATAATACTGGACTTTAAATGCAAGATATTTAAAGTGTACATGAAGTATATTTGCAATAGTTCCACTTTAGCACAATCAAATACCAGAAGTACAGTTGCAGGGTATTTTTATTAAGTACATAAATATGTAATTGTATTTGTAGTATACTTAGCATGAAATACATGTATTTTAAATACATTTGAATATATTTCTTTTTCACAGGAGAAACAATAATGTACAGTATGTGGAAAATAATGTGTGTTTTTTTACCTTAAACCGCATAAACACATTTCATTATACCAAATACACAAAATAATGTTCTTTTTAGCAGCATCACATGACCCCTTTAAGAGTCCCTAGGTTCACATCACAATATCACCAGCCATTCCTACAGAAATTGTAGTTTTTTTTGTAGTGCTTGCATTTGCACACACAATAAACACACACACGTCACTCACTCAACACTGAAGTAGCATCCAGTACTTCTGCTCTCATTTTATCTGACTACTTGCCAAACGATTATAGCAAAGATGGTCGCCACTAGCGACAGGATAAGAGCCAGAACACACATCCTCTTGCGGGATTTTCTCTTAAAAGGAAAAAAACACAAGTTATATACAGTCAACCAGGCAGCACTGCTTAGTGTATGCATCTGCTACATAAACTACAAGTCAAAAGTCTGAAATAATTTTGAAATAGAGACCTTTATTTGTTTTTTGATAGAAATCTAGTATGCTCACCAAGGCTGCATTTATTTGATTAAAAACACAGTAAAACAATAATATTGTGAATTCTTAGTTTTCTATTTGAATATATTGTAATGCAGTTCCTGATACCTGATAATAAGCCGCCTGCTGGAGTTGTTCAGCTCCTCGCTCCACATGCACCTCTGCACCCTCCACGCTGGCTTCAATGCTATCTGTGAATGATGACAGGAGGAAACCAGGCCTTCAAATCTGTGAACAGCTGAATCTGTGCAAAAAAATGAGTTTAAACGAAGCTCTTCAAATCTGATTAGACTAACCTATCATGTCACCCTGGTCATGGATCATGACTGCAAGATCCTTGAAGATCTGATTCACATCCATAATGTCTGACTGAATCGGGAATCAAGAACAGAAAGCAGTTGGGACATTGTACTACAATCCATGTCTGAGAATTAGCATTTAATTACCATTTGCAAAAAAAAATGAAGGTATAAAAAATGAATGATCAAAAAAAGCTGAAAGGCTAGCTTGAATGCTTATGAGAAATGATCATTTTGTAATTACCATTTGCAAAAAAAAATGAAGGTATAAAAAATGAATGATCAAAAAAAAGCTGAAAGGCTAGCTTGAATGCTTATGAGAAATGATCATTTTTGTATGCTGATGTCATACAGGAAGTGCTCACCTCCAGCTGACGGATATTGGTCTCTCTCTCTTTAATAAGCTCGAGGTCCTCTTCGGTGAAAGGCTCCTCTTCTGCTTGCATTCTCCACCCTTCATTTCTTTTCAAATGAAAAAAGCTATGAACATTTCCGCTTTCATATCTCTCACCAGACCCACATTGTTCATATCTGATTCATATCATATCAGTAAATCATCGTATTGCATGTTTGTGTTGTGCATTTGAATACATGAGGGCAATATTTGATCCTTGGGTTTGAATTAGGGTCAAATGATTTATGAACACCGCTTGATAAAGGATTCATTTTTAGATTTTAGACATTAAGCTATTAAAAATGACAATTCTATTATCATTTACTCCCTCTTGTGCCATTCCAAAGAGCAAGAACAAACCTCAGATGTGACAGAACCTTACTGGTTCTCGAGTGTCAAGTAAAAACAACTTTTGAGCTTCTGCTGACCATATTTGATGTGCTCTATATCCACCATAATTTTCAAAGCGGAAGCCGTTTTCTGTGAACGTGTGAGGTAGGGAAATAACGAGAAGAATAACAATGTGCAGTAAACGTAAAACTGTTTGCACTACAAACCAGTGTGTTCATAATTAAAGGGTTAGTTCACCCAAAAATGAAAAAATCTGTCATTAATTACTCACCCTCGTGTGGTTCGAAAACCTGTAAGACCTTCGTTCATCTTCGGAACACAATTTAAGATATTTTTGATGAAATCTGAGGGCTCTCTGACCCTCCCATAGACAGCAAGGTAACTACCACGTTCAAGGTCCAGAAAAGTACCAAGATGATCGACAAAGTAGTCCGTGTGACATCAGTGGTTCAACTGTAAAGTTACGAAGCTACGAGAATACTTTTTTGCACAAAGAAAACAAAAATAACAACTTTATTCCACATTTTCGTCTCTACTGCGTCACTTTGGACGCACGTTCACGACAGTACCATGATGCGAGCGTGTGGCGGCGCTGACGTCATGAAAATGTGGAATAAAGTCGTTATCTTTGTGCAAAAAAGTATTCTCCTAGCTTCGTAATGTTACAGTAAAACCACTGATGTCACACGGACTACTTGGTCA